GACTTGGGGGTCATCATTGACCACAAGATGAACATGAGCCTGCAATGTGATGCGGCGGCTAGTAAAGTGACCAAAACGCTGGCTTGCATCCATAGATGCTTCTCAAGCAAATCTCGGGACGTCATTCTCCCCCTGTACTCGGCCTTAGTGAGGCCGCAGCTGGAGTACTGTGTCCAGTTTTGGGCTCCACAATTCAAAAAGGATGTGGAGAAGCTTGAGAGAGTCCAGAGAAGAGCCACGCGCATGATCAGAGGTCAGGGAAGCAGACCCTACGATGACAGGCTGAGAGCCCTGGGGCTCTTTAGCCTGGAAAAGCGCAGGCTCAGGGGTGATCTGATGGCCACCTACAAGTTTATCAGGGGTGACCACCAGTATCTGGGGGAACGTTTGTTCACCAGAGCGCCCCAAGGGATGACGATGTCAAGTGGTCATAAACTACTACAAGACCGTTTCAGGCTGGACATAAGGAAGAATTTCTTTACTGTCCGAGCCCCCAAGGTCTGGAACAGCCTGCCACCGGAGGTGGTTCAAGCGCCTTCATTGAACACCTTCAAGATGAAACTGGATGCTTATCTTGCTGGGATCCTATGACCCCAGCTGACTTCCTGCCCTTTGGGCAGGGGGCTGGACTCAATGATCTTCCAAGGTCCCTTCCAGCCCTAATGTCTATGAAATCTATGAAATCTGAAATAAGTCTTTTAAATACTACAAAAAGAACTGTAGCTTTGCAGCTGGACAGGCTGAACTGCAAAAAAGACCAATGAATGTCCCTCAAAGTGGTTGACATTCGGCAGGTGTTAAGCGACACGAGTAAAGCAAAAAATAGACTGGAGTCTGGATACTGATTAAGACCAGATTAAAGACCTGGAGGGATGTGGGCAGTGGGGTCCCACAGGGCTCGGTCCTCAGGCCCATACTGTTCAGCAACTTGGACAAAGGGGTGAAAAGCACCTTGCTCAAATTCACAGATGACACTAAGATGTGGGGAGAGGTGGGCACAGTAGAAGGGAGGGACAGGCTATAACTAGATTTGGACAGGTTACAGGGGCGGGGAGATGAGAATAGGATAGGAGTCAATAATGACAAGTGCAAGGTACTGCACCTAGGGAGAAAGAACCAGCACCTAGGGAGAAATAACGGCCACAAGTTGGTTGAGAGTAGGTTCAGGCTAGACATCAGGAGGCACTACTTCACAGTCAGGGCGGCTAGTATCTGGAACCAGCTTCCAAGGGAAGTGGGGGGAGCTCCTACCTTGGGGGTCTTCAAAAGGAGGCTAGATAATCACCTAGCCGGGGTCGTTTGACCCCAGCATTCTTTCCTGCCCGTGGCAGGGGGTCGGACTTGATGATCTGTTCAGGTCCCTTCCTACCCTATCAACTATGAAACTATGAGGACAAAAAAATAGTAGATTTGTAAAGGATGTCCACTTAGCCTGATATTCTGAGGACTAATCAATCTGGCCAAAATTTTCTAATTAGGCGAGCTAAAGCTAACCAGCTAAAAATGTGATCTGGAAGTATTGGAGGTGTTGAGGAGATGAATTCCCATTGAAGTCAATAGCTATAAGTGCTTGCTGAGCACCTCTGAAAACCAAATTAAATTAAGTAACTAAGTTAAAAGCACCTACGTTAGAAAGTGCTGGCATTTTTGCACATGGTACAGGCACTTGAACTTGAGACCAGTAAATGTTTCCCTGCCACCCCCTGCCCCAGGCAGTTAACACACAATTATGGTATAAAATGATGTTCTTAAAGGACCCTGATTCCTTGCAAACCCCCGCCAAGAGTTGTGTTTACAGCAGTCCTTTGACTGCCATCTTTTAGCAAGTTTTAAAATCAATTCTAGACTTTTTTTCAAATTCAGGCTGATGGTATTTTAAAATTTCTGCAAACGATTAAATGCTCAATAAAGTATAGCATTGGGATAACTTACAAATCAACGTGCAGAACTCTCTGGCCACTTCTCGAACACGCAGCTGCAATGATAGATTCAGGCAAACCTATAAAAATACATATTTTTTTTTTAGAACAAGAGTTTAAAGCATGTCTTAATAAGAAATAACTAGCATGTCATTGCCATGTGAGTTAACTAAAATGACTCACAACACATTTTGGACCATTATAATCATCATAATTTCACGATACTAAAAAAGCAAACAAAATGTCAGTATCAGTAAGAGATCCTTCAGTATTGCCTGTTGAACTTATATTTTCTTGTATAAAACACACACCTTTCTTCTCCCAAAACTCAGCCCCGCAAAATGTAGGTGCATGCATTAAGCAAGTAAGTGATTTTCTGCCTGGAATAGAAGCACTCTAGTTTTTTTTCATAGATTCATAGACATTAGGGCTGGAAGGGACCTCGGAAGATCATCAAGTCCAGCCCCCTGACCCAGGGGCAGGAAGTCAGCTGGGGTCATAGGATCCCAGCAAGATAAGTATCCAAATTTCTCTTGAAGGTGTTCAATGTGGGTGCTTGAACCACCTCCGATGGCAGGCTATTCCAGACCTTGGGGGCTCGAACAGTAAAGAAATTCTTCCTTAAACGGTCTTGCAGAAGTTTATAACCGTTCCACCTTGTCATCCCTTGGGGCACTCTGGTGAACAAGTGTTAATATTCAAGTAGCTCAGGGAGTCAGCTGATTTAATGACTCACTGACCTGCACTCTGCAGCAGTTAACAATGGTCTTGATATTCCACTAACATTTCTTAGGGCAATTTTTCCTGTCTGCTAGCTGCTCCTGGTCTCTACGCATATTTCATAGGCTTGGAACTATTTTTAGCTCTTTTCAAAATCATAGATCCATCCATAAAAACTGGTCTTCAACAGCTAGAGTTTCAGCTTTAGTTTAGCAGAAAAAAAGGATAAGTCACCTGAAAATTAGGCCTCTGTCTCTGATCTATACAGCTAAAAATCTGGAAAAAACATTTTTTCTTCATTTTGGCTTCCAACAACAGGGTGCGTATTATACTCCAGGGCACAATGTATGTTAACAAATATGGTGGTAATAACAACAAATAAATAATAATAATTTTTAAAAAGTGTTATTGGTGAAAATATATCACCAATTTCTCTCCTAGATGCTTTGATATCATATATTTATTCAGCACTTGCACAACACTGCCTAAAGCTTAATGTGATATACAGAAATTGCACTCTCAGCAACACAAACCCCCAAGTCATCTCAAAACTCAGATATTTTTACTTCAGATGAGGGATCAAACTAGAAAAAAGGTAGTGGCAATCTTCCACCAATTACTCTGCCCGTATGAGGTGCCACTCATTGACTGCGTTCAAAATAAGTCATGCACATTCTCTAGCTTCTGCTCCCACTCACTGAGCACACACGGAGGATCCTTTGGGCAGCTGAATTAGCTTCAGCTTAAATGAGTGGGGCAAACCTTGCAGAAATAATGTTTCAGGTTCTGCAAAACACAGGAAGATGTAATCACAGCAGTTAACCTAAAAAATAATCTCAGCCATAATAGCTACAGATTATTATAGCACTAGAACACAACCACATACTTGCTTCACTTTAAGCTGTCAAGAACATTTGAGTTTAACATGGACCCAATAAGCTTTGTAAGACCCATCACAGGAACAAGTCAAAATTTTATTAGGAGTTGCCTCAACTACATGCTCAACTAGTGATGAAGATTGAAAAGAACCCTAGGTCCTATATCATCAGTTTCCTCTTGTAATATGACCAAATAAGGTTTCTGGAATCTTTACAATCTGATTATCTGTTACACATACATACCATAGCATGTCAAGGGTACAAGGTAATTATTTTCTAACTTACAAAATTTAAGTCCTTACCCAGTTGATGGCCAGGGCTTCTAGGTATTATTTAGCACTTGTGTAGACAGAAACTCATTAGTTGAGAAATTTAATCTAGTTGTGGTTAACAGTAAGATCCCAGTGTAAATGCCAACCAAGAATCCTTAGTCACTCTTTATTTAGGCAAACTTCCATTGAAGTAAGGCCCAAATCAATGGATTAGGTCCTAAGGAATGTGAACTCAATTGCGCTCTCTCTCAGTCAGCTTGTGTTGTCTAGGTAAGTTAATTAAAAGCTCCACCTTGTCGTCCCAGAACAAACAATCATTAAACTTTGCTTCATAAATTACAGAAATCATATTTCTCTACTGTCAGTTTTGTAATGAAGATTTTTTACTACAGTGTTTAGCTAACGTAAAAGAAAGTTCCTCCTTTCTCTTTTTAAATAGCTTCATTTTCCTAAGACATTCCCTGCAACATAGGTTTAAATCTTTCTTAAATACTTTAGTCTGTACAGAGTGTGTCAACATTTCATTTCAATATATAGTTTATATTAGGAGTGCACCAATAGAGATTTTTTGGGGCTGATACTGATAGCCAATATTTATGGAGACATATTAGCCAATACCGATCTGATTACTGATACAGCTGCCTCCAGCTGGTAAGTCCGGTGTGGTGGAAGGGGAGGGGGGAGGGAAGGGGTGTCGGGGGGCCCAGATCAACACCCCCCATGGTGAGGGAGAGAGAAGGCAGGAGCAGACACTGCACAGGCAGGGTGGGGGGGAGCCAGAGCCACAGCTCGTGGCATGGAGGGAGGCGGCTCCTGCTGCTGTTTGCACCCCAAGAAGGCACAGGGGGGTGTGCTCCCTGGATCTGTGTGGAGCAGGGCACAGCAGGCTGCACAGGGCTCTTCTTGGTGGGGGCTGGGCTCAGAACAGGAACCAGCAGCACTAGGAGGATGCTGCAACCACCCCTAATTTTGCCGCCGCTCCACTCCCAGCGCTCCCACCAGCTGCTTGGCACAGCCCCGGCTCTTCCCAGCACATGGGTGGAGGCGGGGTGTTGAGCTGGGGCTGTGCCGGGCGGCTGGTGGTGGTGGCGCTGGGAGCACAGTGGTGGTGAAATCCGGGGTGGCTACAGCATCCTCCCAGCACTGCCAGTGCCCACTCCGAGTCCAGCCCACGCTGAGAAGAACCCCGCGCAGCCCCAGCTGCAGCCTGCCCTAACCCACACAGATCTGCGGGGCCCATGCCCCCTCCCATGCCCTACCAGGGTGCAAGCAACAGCAGGAGCCACCTCCCACCCATGAGCTACAACTCTGCCCCCCCCAGGCAGCAGCACCCCCTGTCTCTACCCCCTCCCTCCTGCATGGAGCGTTGATCTGCCCCATCCACACCCCTTCCCTCCCCTTCCACTACACTGGACTTACTAGTTGGAGGCAGCTCTCCACACTGCTGAGCTGTGTTCCTCACTGCCTGAGTGCTGCGCTAAGGCTGTGTGCAAAACAGGCATTTATCGGCCAAATTACTGACCTCACCAGGCCGATATCTGATACAGTCAATTTTCTTTATACCAGCACTGATCCGATATCGGACCAATGTATCAATGCACCTCTACTTTATATACGTTTATGTCAGTTGTGCATATAGTCGCATATGAATCTGACAACAATAAACAAAGAAATGAAAATGTTCACATAGGTTTCTCACCCTCATATCTAGTTCAGAGGCTAAGAACAGATGTTGCATTAGTACGATGACAAGTTGTGCCTGTGTTTACCCTAGAACAGAAATGTCCTGAGATTGGCCTGTACACACATGTACGCACTACCAACCAGGGTTTGATGAGCAACTGAATGCACATAGCTCCCAAGAATAGCAGGGTCTCTAGCATTAGCTCTGCCATTAGCTCCAGCATTAGCTCTACTGAAGAGCTTTCACCTGCAGCTCCCAGGGACAGACTGACTGACTGGGCTCAGGCACTGGCTTCATGTGCCTTGAGTCCAACACTATCCAGTCATGTGACTCTGCAGACACTCACAGGTGTTCCCCCTTCTGTGCCTGATAACCAGTCTATTTTCTCTTTTAGGGCTTGGTTCACCTGTCATTTGCAGATGACATGAAGCTGGGGGGAGCAATGGATACACTGGACAGTAGGGCTAGGATTCGAAGTGACCTAGAGAAATTGGAGGATTGGGCCAAAAGAAATCTTATGAGGTCAACAAGGACAAGTGTCAAGTCAGTCCTGCACTTAGGACAGAACAATCCCATGCACCAGTACAGGCTGGGGGCTGACTGGCTGGGCAGGAGCTCTGCAGAAAAGGATGTGGGAGTTACAGTGGACAATAAGCTGAATATGAGTCAACAGTGTGCCCTTGTTGCAAAGAAGGTTAACAGCATACTGGGCTGAATTGGTAGGTGTGTTGCCTGAATTGGTAGGTCAAGAGAAGTGATTATTCCCCTCTATTCAGCACTGGTGAGGCCACATCTGGAGTACTGTGTCCAGTTTTGGGGCAGAAAAGATGTGGACAGACTGGAGAGGGGCATATGACAGGACAAGAAGCAACAGTCACAAGTTACAGCAAGGGAAGTTTAGGTTAGGTATTAGGAAGAATTTTCTCACTAGGAGGGTAATAAAGCACTGGAACAGGTTACCAGAGGTTATGGAATCTCCATCCTTGGAGGTTTTTCAAGACATGGCTAGACAAACTTTTAGCTGGGATGATCATGCTTTGAGCAGGAGGTTGGACTAGATGATTCTATCTGACTGCAGCTTGGGGCTTCTGAGATGCCTATAGACCTGCCCTGTTTGCAGCTTACTGCTCTGTGACTACCTCCTTGGGAAGGTTACTCCTCACCCAGGGCAGCCACTAACCCATGTAGCTACAGGTCTGCCTGCTAGTTGGCATCTGGTTTACAAGCAGTTAGCTTGTGTATTAACTACCACCCTGCCCAGCCCAGGGACAGCTCAGTTTTCTATTACAGTTCATCCTGGGACAAAATGGTTTCTTGAGGGACAAATGTAATGTTTGTTTGTAGCCAGACACTAGCAGTTAAGGGGCCAATCTTTTCCTCCAACTATTACTGTACACTAATCATGACTGATGACCAAGATACAACGCAGCTATGTGTTTTGCTTCAAGAGCAAAGATCAAACAAACAATCAGGACCTAATTGCAGGGAAGAGTGAGCAGTCACCTACAGACCATGGTAACTCAGAA